CCTCCGCGCGGCGCGGCGGCAATGCCTCCGCTGGGCGCGGGGCCGCGGTGCGCCCGAGGGTCGCGGGGGCCGCCGCGCCGGTGACCGCGGCGGCGGCGGCCGAGGGATGCGGCAGGCAGGAGCCCCCCGCCGCGCCCGCCGTCGAGATCCCCGTCACGTGCTACCAGGTGAGCCCGTCCGTCCAGGCCCTCCTCCGCTCCAGAGTTCGAATTCCCCGGAAATGCGGGCCCCGCCGTTGCAGCCGCGCCGCGCCGCGTCGGCCGCTCGATCCGCCGACGCCGTTACGGGCGAGCTGGCTGTGGGTTTCGTCGTCAAAATTCAACGCCCTCGCATCGCATCCGCTGGAAACTGAATTCGCGCTGCAGTTTCTTCCACACACTTGAATTGGACTGTACCGCCGCGGCGGACGGGTTCCGAGATTTCGTAGTTTTCTCCAGCCCGAAAGCGGCTGGATCATGTCGTCTTCCATTTTATGACGCATCCGTCCAATTGGCCGTGCAGATCCTGGGCGTCACGGAGAAGGCCGAGAAGGACGAGATCGTCAAGTCGGCCATCGAGCTGAGGAAGTCGGAGATCGAAGACGGGTACACGGAGGAGGTGTCTACTTGCAGACAGGTCGCTTACTGAATTCTGAAATTGCGAGAATACTGTTTTGCTCGGAATCATACGCAGCCAGCACCTCGGTGTTTAACGTTGTGCGGTTTGTTGATGCTCTGTCAGGCTCTGCTGCTGGACGTGAGAGACAAGCTTCTCTTCGAACAGGAGTACGCAGGAAGCACCAGGGCCAAGGTTCCGCCCAGATCCTCTCTTCATATACCCTGGAGCTGGTTACCTGCTGCCTTGTGTGTCTTGCAGGAGGTAATGTGTTGCATAAACACCTTCCAGTCAAAAGATTCATGTGTACAAATGGAGGGCAGTTAGCAAGTTTGGTCCGTTTAAAACATAATCTAGGCCTTTCATCTATATTGGACAGGATAGTCACTATCATGGCATGCCCTGTTCTCTGAAGTTCACTGAAACAGCAAATATTTAGTTGAACATTGACAGTGTTTCTTGTTTTTTCTATCAAGGCGGTTTGAAAAGTTACAGGGTGTTTTAAGATTTATCTGTGCTTTCTTGAAAGACTAGTAAAATAAAACAGTATTATGACAAATCCATGGTCAATATATATAGTATTGTTGTAAGGGGCATGTAGAAATTGAATTATGCCCATCTTTGGAATAGGTTACTGAAATGTTAGTCAATATCTGTAGTATTATTATAAGGAACATGTAGATACTGAATGTTGCCCATCTTTTGGACTAGGTAGGTGTAAAATACTGAAATATGATCGATGATCACTTGGATGTTTGAGAGATTTAAGGGCTCAATCATGGAGAATCCTAGTAGCCTCTGTTCAATACAGTTGAATGTGCTTGTCTTATAACCATGTACTGAAATGTTTCACATCTGTATCCCATGGGATAGTCAATATAATGGGCATGCCCTGTTCTCTGAAGTTTAGCAAAACAGGAAATATTTGGTTGAACACCGACTGTGTTTCTTGTTTTTCTCATCGAGGCGGTTTGAGAAGTTACATGCTGTTTAAGATTTATCTATGCTTTCTTCAACAAAATTATGAAATCTCCATGGTGAATATATGTAGTATTATTGCAGGAGCATATAGAAATTCAATTACACCCGTCTTTCGGACTAGGTAGGTGTAAAATACTTAAATGTGATTGATGATCTGTTTGATGTTTATGAGATTTAAAGGCTCAAGCATGGAGAGTCCTTAGTAGCCTCCGTTCATCAGAGTTGAATGTGCTTGTCTTATCATCTTGTACTGCCTTGTTTGTTTATTGCCAGTGTAAGATACCACATGCCAGTATTGTTTTCAGGTTGGGGAAGAGAAGCTGGTTTTGGACATTGGTCAGGCAGCTCTACGACGTACTGATTCTAAGCCATATGCTCACGATGTACTTCTTGCAATGGCACTAGCTGAAGTAAGTACTATGCATGATTAAAGTGAAAAAGCTGCTTGGTACAGTGTTTATTATGTACATCTTTGGCAATTTGGAATAATTCCATGCATTTTCCTGTAGTGCTCCATTGCAAAAGCTAGCTTTGAAAAAAGTAAAGTATCTCTTGGCTTTGAGGCTCTAGCACGTGCTCAATATCTTTTGAGGAAAAAACCATCTTTAGAGAAGATGCCCCTTCTTGAGCAGGTAACATGTTATTGCTTTCACCTTACAGATTCGTCCATGTATGAAATCATGTCATAACTTCTCTTGTTGTGTGAACTAGATTGAAGAATCACTTGAAGAGCTTGCACCAGCTTGCACTCTAGAGGTTTTAAGCCTGCCCCGTACACCTGAAAATTCTGAACGCAGGCGGGGTGCTATTGCAGCTCTCTGTGAATTGCTTGGACAGGGACTTGATGTTGAGTCATCATGTAGAGTTCATGATTGGCCTTATTTCTTGGGCCAGGCAATGGACAAGTTATTAGCCACTGAAATTGTTGAACTACTTTCTTGGGACTCTTTGGCTACAACTCGTAAAAACAAAAAATCGCTGGAGTCTCAGAGCCAGCGGGTGGTAGTTGACTTCAACTGCTTCTACAGGGCAATGCTTGCACACCTTGCATCTGGATTTTCAACCCGGCAGACTGAGTTGGTACCTTTCTTCTTCTTCTTCTTCTTCTACTTGTAGCCTATAGGAACCACACTATCCTGTTTGCTGCTTTTCCATTTTTTAATTTACATTACCTCTGTGCAGATAAGTAAAGCTAAAACCATCTGCGAGTGCCTAGTTGCATCTGAGAACACCGACCTGAAATTTGAGGAATCTTTTTGCTCTTTTCTTCTTGGAGAGGTGATAGGCTAATCTCAATTTCTATAAATTTAGTAATGCACAATTGCACATTACTAGGACTAAAGGCTTGCTCTCAGGAATCTGGCGCCACAGTTTTCGAAAAGCTTCAGCAGCTTCAAAGTAATGGAAGTTCCAATTCAAGGAATTATGGGTTAGCTAAGAAGAAAGACAGCAGTGACAAGGTTACTGTCAACCAATCACTGGTATGTTACATCTTGGATGAGAGCAAATAAGTTGTACTATGCTAGATTAGTAGGTGGCATATTTGTCTGAAGTTTTTAGTGTGCCTATGGTCAGTTCAAATTTTCTCATGCTGGTCAACTTGTGTTTACCAGGAACTGTGGCTGAAGGAAGTGGCACTTTCTCGTTTTGCAGATACAAGAGATTGTCCGCCGTCCTTGGTTCGTGCCATGCTATTTTTAGTAATTGAATCCCTCGTAACATTCTCTGTGGATTAATTTAACTATCAATATCATCTTATGACAGGTCAACTTCTTTGCTGCTCCTAAGCGCCTCATTAGCACTTCCAAGCAGAAACTAGGAGCCACGAGAAGAGTCCTTTTGAGCTCTCAGACGCCTTCTAGTGCCTCCACATGCAACAGAACTTCAGGACAGCAGAATCCAAGATTAAATTCTACCAGCCATCTCGGGGAAGCTGTAAAGCAGCTTGCACCAACCACCCTGGGGGGCCAGGGATCAACGGATAGGCCAGTGAATGGTTTAAGTACAACATCTGTTCCTCTGAAGCGCAATCCTGGATCCCATCCTGTAAGAACCTTGGAATCGTGGGGCCTGACTGGGGATGTTATAGGAAAAATCGCTTACACTGCAGTCCTGGGGCTTGCCCTATTTGGTACATTAAAACTGCTCAGGTTTCAGTTTGGGAACACAAAACCTGCCCCCTCAACGAGAGAATCTGCAGCTACATCTTCTCTGAATGAAGCATCTCCGTCAGAAGGTTCTTTTATCAGTAGCAGAGTAAGGGAACAGTTTGAGAAGCTGTCAAAAATGCTTTGGTTGAACAATAGGGTCCATTTGAGAAGTGAAAGAAGTGATCTGTCTCCTGGTTCTAGTGATGTGGCTGCTATAGCTCGCAAGGAAAGGATGTCTCTTCAAGAAGCAGAGGCACTTGTGAAGCAGTGGCAAGATATCAAATCTGAAGCTCTTGGCCCTGACTATGAAATCGATATGCTCTCCGAGGTCCTCGACGGTTCGATGCTGTCAAAGGTAAGTTCCTTTTATCAAGCACGTAGTAGCATATATGGAGTTCATGTATAATTGTGCATGCGGAGCATAATCAAAACAAATACCCTCTTGTTGAGCAGTGGCAAGACTTGGCTTTATCAGCAAAGGATCAGTCCTGCTACTGGAGATTTGTTCTGCTGAATCTCTCTGTTGTCCGAGCCGAGATCCTGCTGGATGAGGCTGGTGACGGTGAAGTTGCGGAAATCAATGCTGTGCTCGAGGAAGCTGCTGAGCTTGTTGATGACTCTCAGCCCAAGAAGCCTAGTTACTACAGGTACTTCAGAACATGCCATTTCTGTGTATCTTTCTCATTCTGCTCCGGAGTAACATAGCACTGACAATTTGTATGGTTATACTTGCAGTACGTATGAAGTTCAGTACTCACTGAGGAGGCAGGACGACGGATCTTGGAAAATCTGCGAGGCTGCTGTCCGGGACCTGTCGTGATTTCTGCCAGAAGGATGGCTAATGCATCATCTCATAGGACGCTGGGCCATGTTATAAACAAAGTTCCAACATATTAGAAATTTGTAGGTCGCTAGTATTAGGTCACCATTGAACCAATTCGAATGCACGAAACCGTTCGATGATCTGCGTTGGGATGCTCTAGCTGCTAGTGGTGACTTTGCATCAGGATTTGACACAATACCCGCTGATTTGCTACGTTAGTACAGAATGCTAACTTCTTCTGATTTCACATACCCTTCATTTTTTTGCGCTTACATTGTTAGTTTGCGATATGCTGTTGGGCCTTGGGTGCCCCGCGCGGTGTAGCTGAATTGTGTCAGCCATTGTTCATTGTTGAAAGATCAATGCAGTTTGCTTCATTTCGCCTCTTTCGTTTTGAGTTTTGACCATAGGCTTCATGAATGATGATTCCTTTTTTCACCCCCTTTGTTTTTGAACTTTCCCCTTGTTCAGGCTCCAGACTTGTACTTCAACTTTGATCCCTGTTGGATACGGTAGGAACATCAGATTTTTAGACATGGACATGAGGATGACAAATTTAGTTTGCAAGCACGGCAATTTCCTGTCAAAAAATGAACTGAGACAGATTTCCATGCTTGCCAACTAAACTTGCCATCCTTGGCGAACACAACTTGCCATAAAAAATATTCGTTTTACCATGCCTAAAAATCTGATGTTTGCTGGATATTTGGGTCCTTGAGATATATATATGTGGTTATTTTGAGATAAAGACGACTTGACATTTTCAAGCCTATTTGATAGATTTTTCTTCTTAAATCTACTCTTGCCAGGAGAATTTTCAATTTTGACCATAAATTTAACCAACGAGACCGATCATAGCGGGAGAATTTTTTTTATATAATTGAAAACTTCTTTTGAATACGAATTCACTAGTATAACTTTTGCTCCCGCCGCAAACGGTCTTGTTAGTTAAATTTATGGTCAAAGTTGAAGCACGGGAATAGAGAAAAGCACTATACTCATCTCTGTCAGTTTACAAGACGTACGTGTACCCTGGGCCGTCAATTTAACCAAGATAACATAAGTCATATATTAAAAAAAACTGTTATAAACTTCAGATATTTTATTTTCAAGCGGTATATTTTTTATGTTATATAGTTTATATTATGGTGATAAAATTTACAATCTAGATATACGTGTATGACTTGTAAACTGAAACGAAACGAGTACTGTATTTTGAAATGGAGGGAGTAGTATTACTGAACTAGCTGAACCTGTGCAGTGGCATTGACACAGCCGCTTGGATCTCACCGTCAGCCTCGCCACAGCCCCAGCCAGCCCATGCGGCCTGCGGCTTCATCAGATCGCCATCGCCGCCGCTCCACAGCCACAAAGCCGCCGCCTTTCAAGCCCGCCTGCCCTTCCGCGCTTTGGCACCGCCCTGCCGCCGCCGCCGACTCTCCTCCATGGCCGCCGGCGCGTGGCCGGCGGCCGCGGCGGCGGCCCGCGCGGCGGTGCGCACGCTCGGGCGCCTCGTCCCCCGCACCCACACCCACTCCACCGCGGCCACCACCAACTCCTCCCCCTCCTCCTCGGCGCACACCCTGGACGACTACAACCGCCTGCTGGCGGCCCTGGCGCGGGACGGGGACGGCGAGTCGGCGCTGCGCGTGCTCCGCCGCATGCGCCAGGGCTCGCCCGCGGCCTGCGCGCCCACGGCCGCCTCCTACGTCTCCGCCATGTCGGCGCTCGCCAAGGCCGGCCGCGCCGCCGACGCCACGGCGCTCTTCGACGACATGCTCGCGCACGGCGTGGCGCCCGACCGCCGCGCCTACTCGCTCCTCCTCCACGTCTACTCCACCCACCTCGGCCTCCCCGCCGCCGGCCTCTCCGTGCTGCACTGGATGTCCGGCCTCGGCGTCCGCCCCAGCGCCGTCGACTACGCCGACCTCATCTTCTCCTTCTGCCGCGCGGGCCAGCTCCCGGACGCGCTCCAGCTGCTCGACGAAATGCGCGAGCTCGGGTACCCGCTCCCCCCGCACGTCTACTCGCCGATACTCCAGGCCCACTGCGACGCTGGCGACATCCCGGCCGCCGAGGCGCTCATCGCCTTCATGCGCGCCTCCGGGGGCCGCTCCGGGTGCAACCCCGACGTCGTCATCTACAACATCTACATCCACGGGCTGTGCAGGGTCGGGGATTTCCACGCCGTGCAGAGGGTTATCAACGACAGCGTCTGGAACTGGTGGGTGCCGGACGCGGTGACCTACAGCACCTACGTTGCCGGGCTCTGCCGGGCTGGATATATCGAGGACGCGTTCCGGCAGCTGGACATCATGGTCGCCAAGGGGCTACAGCTGACCGTGGTCGGCCTCAACATACTGCTGGATTACGCTGCCAAGGATGTAGATATGTGGGTTGCCAAGGAGGTGCTGGAGCGCTGCGAAGAGCTGGGCTTCGAGGTCGACGTCGTGACGTACAACACGGTCATGGAACATTTCTCCAAGAAGATGCAGTGGCTGATTGCCCTCAGGCTGTTCACCGATCTGCTCAAGAAGCCCATAACACCCGATGTGCAGACGTACAACATCTTGATCTCATCCCTGTGCCGAGCCGGCAAGTTTGAGCTCGCCAAGTTCGTCTTCAGTTGCAACGGGTTTGTGGCGGACACCGTGACCTGTAACATTCTGATCCATCAGTTCTATGGTGCTGGAAAGGAGGGCGAGCTTGGGTTCTTGTTCTCCGATGTTGACGCAGGGAAGATTACCCCAGATACAATCACATACAACACGCTGGTCGATTGCCTCTTTAGGTCTGGGAGGAGGACCGAGGCTGCCAATCTGGTCAGGCACATCGACGGCGGCTACCCTGCGGAGCCCGTAGCACATCTGGCTTTCTGGTTGGTTAGGAGCGGAAATGTTCGAGAGGCTTTGAGTCTGTTTGATGACATGCTAGTGAAAGGAGTCGCTTTAGATGCTATGGTTTTCACCAATGTGATCAAGGCATTCTGCAGAAAGGGTCCAGGGGAGTGCACAGATGTGACACAGCTGTGCTCTGTGCTGGATAGGATGCTTGGGATTGGATGATCCTTATCTTGCTCTCTTGCTGATATTGGTTGGTCTCATTTTTGAACTTGTCCTTTTGTATCACTAGGAGATAGCAACTGAAATTAAAACACCTGGTATACTGAAATCTGTTATGTTACTTTGTTCAAAATTTTGCTTTGGTAGCAAATGATGTTCTAACTTGGTATCTTGTGTCAACAGTTCTGGTCATCTCATTCGTCAACAGCAGAACTTAGCAAGCCATAGGAAGTTCCAACAAGGATGTCCGAATTTCCATCACCATCCAAATCAACCACAGTTGGAGATGAATATGCATGGGCACAGAAGTTCCTGTCTCCGATACTCCAATCGAGGTCTGCTGTCCATTTAACTTGTTTTGTGTCAAGGTTAAAAACAACTATAATGCTTGCAATATATTTCCCCATGTCAATCCTTCCTAGCTCTTTTAAATGCTATGCGTTATCATAGCTTCTAGACTGCAAAAGGTATGCCACCACGGTAACACAGGCAAGATATAATGAAGTGCTCATGTTGTGGGCTTGTGGCTGAAAGTTTTGCATTAAGAAAAAAAACATTTCAATCATATCCAAAAGATAGCACAGCAAGATAAACAAACACCTAGCTTCTGCTTTAGCAGCTTCGGTTCATTACTGGAACAAACATGAAGCAGAACAAAAACAATCAAAGCAGAGCATAAAATTATTCAGGTAACCAAATGCACAATCTAATTGAGACTAGATACGAAGCACCATCATCAACCAACCAGTCCATGGTAAGAGTCTAAGAGAGAACAAAGGGGTCCTATTTTTGGAAAATTAATCTCGGAGAGCATTAATGACGCACATGCATGCAACATAGGACATCACAAATAAACTGACGTTCAGAGATTCTTATTTATAAGTCATCATCCTGATGTCATGAGCTGATGAGCAACACGTACGAAATGCATTAGTAGCAGAGAAAGCAGCCGCACTCGTGGCCAAAGAAGTAACATACAGCAACAACCATTTCTTGTACACTGTCGTTGTCAATGTCTGCAATTACCTGTAGAAAGAATGTGAAACCAAGTAACCAACTCAAGAACATTAATAGAACACACATCAAATATATGTACAAAAGGGTTCACTTACTGGGGTCGACAATATGTGAGCATCTATGCCCACGTAATCTTCCGCTTCTCATGCTCTAGTTTCTGTACAATCCTCGTCTCTCCACATGGTATCATCAACATAATCATCATAATCATAACTGTACTCTTCAGGGAGATAACATACTAAATCCTGATCTTTCATGTGTGTGAGAAGCTACAGTTATTTTCAGAGTACTGAAAGTTAACAATGCCTAACAGAAAAAAGCGTGTAAATTACACGTGGCCCTCCTATTTGTTTGTGCCTTTTCTGGCTTCGACTGAAAACCCTAAAATAAAAAGCAATAACCCAAACAAATAGCAGCTATTGTGCCGTGAGGCTCTGGTTAGAAAAACATATTCCACTTCTTTTTCGAGGGACACACGTAACAGAAAAATAAAGAATAGCACATATTAGTTACACCCTCCGTTCCTATACTTATGGCGTAAATCTCCCAGCGCCACCTAATAGGGTCATTATGCACAGTGAACTGCCACATTCACATATTTTGCACTGCTAATCTGCTACTAATACAGAACCGCACTAATTTTAGAAAAAGGGACGAAGAAACTGTGCTGCATATTGGGGAATCAGCTCGCCAAAAGTTAGATTTTATGATGATGTTGTTCTGTAAAGCCAGATGTCATTGGCAATGACAAGGACACTATGCACAACTAACCAGGCTTAGTGGGCTTACTTCTCCTCTTTTACAATCTTTCATACCATCACAAAAAACCTCGAGTTAGAAGATGATATCCTCCATTTTGTACATATTCATGACCGCACCGGGCTAATTTTCTCCATGCATCGAAGATGAACATGAACATCAGCATGCATTGATTTATGAAAGAGACAGCCTAGCATGGGCGGCAGGAGCCACTCAGGCTAGCCAAGAAGACTGCCCATGAAACCACACCCCAAGGCCAATTAAGCCTTGAGGGAGGAACAAGACACAGGCAAGTCATCCTTGGCTATCAGAGATAAGGCCCTTGCAGCCATGTAAGGCTTGCTCTCTGCTAATGCGTTACTACTACTGAACTTTGGTTTCTTCAGTTCTTGGTTTGCAGTGTTTCTTCCATCCAGCATCTATTTATATGTACACGTCCTAGAGAACAAGATCTAATGGTCGTGTTTGGTACTTGTAGGCCTCTACCCAGAGTATCTTATCATTACCTCCTTTTGGGCTAGCAGAATATATTCTAGATGCCAACGTATACGGATTGTCAAATATCATGATATACAACTACTTTATGTTGCAGTTTGAATTATAGAGATGAGAGCATATTGACTCCTCTGAAAGCGATTCCTGATATGATGCTCAAATCTTCTTAAAGCTAGCTAGCATGATCAGTTCCATATCTTTGCTAAAAGGACATGGAAAGTTGAATTGCCCACCTAATTAACCACATTATCACTATAGTGATCAAACAGAGGGAACACACTACTCTTTACACAGCATGGAGTGATAATTTCGTCTTTAGATAAGCAATAAAGGATGGAAACATGACCAAACAGAGCGATAATTATGTGCATGATATGTGCAGGCCAAATGGAGCTCAGGTTCACACTAAAGCAACCAGACCAACATGTATCAGGATTGGGAATCACATTCTTCTGCTTATAGACCAGATTCAAATACGATGAGTTCACTACATTTTATACATCAACTAGCAGAGGATCCAGAGAAGTGCACAGATATGATTTAACTGTGTGTTCTGTGCTGGATAGGATGCTTTGGCTCTGATGGTTCTCTTTAGCCACTTTAGATGGCAGTGGCCTCAATTCTGAACTTGTACTGTTGTATCAGCAGGAGACGGAAATCGATAGTAAAACACCATTTTGGTCTTCTTTATGCAGTACATATATCAGCATAATATAATCTGTCACACAGAAATGTGTTATGTTCCTTTCTTCAAATTTCTCTTTAATGTCAAAGCATGCTCTAACTTGGTATCAATATGTCAAAAGTTTTGGCCATCTGATTTTGTATCATTGTCAAAGCTCTAACTTGTTACTCTTGACAGTCTTCAGAGTCGTTGGACCCGATCATCTGTATGTCATAGGACTTGCTTATGGTTCTGGCTAGTCACATTTTCACTAGATATTCTTCTTTCATGATTAACATGGCAGTGAATATTTCGTTGTCAAACGAAATAGTCACGCTGCAGGAAAGAAATGGGCTTAAAAGTACCAGCTGGAATCTCTATATTCCTGATAGATGTTGTAACCATCGTAATTCGTAGCCATTTGTCTGCTCTAGTTATAATAAAGCATTGTACGTATGTCTTTTTGATGCCACTGAACCGTTACATTAGTTAATATTCTTACTACAAATGCTTAGTCCACAGGCTTACAGCTGCTAGCGACAGGAGCCATTTGTGGGGTTGCAACAACCAACAAGGTATGCTGCACTGAACTGCACAGGAAAGCTGCAGCTTCAGCTCCAGCGTTTCTGTTGGTCTTCTCATCTGAATTCACCCCATTCCTACAGGCCTAAATAACTTTCTGTTGATATTTCATGCAACAGTGACACTTATGTACAAATGCCTGAACTTGTTAAACCCTTTTTGTTTCCTGAGTGATACAGAAGACTGCCAAAACAACGGGCACATAGTGTGAATAACATAGAGCATGATACTTACAACGTACACAAGTTTACACATACATCTGAGAAAATACATACTTCCTCTGTAAAGATTTTTTTTGTTTGCGAAATCTCTGTAAAGAAATATAAGACCGTTTAGAACTTTACGGAGGGAGTACTAACAAAGGAGAGTACGATAATACCTCTTCACCCGCATAACATGATGATCACACAGAAACAGCTCAACAGCCTAGGGATATTGCTACCCAAGAAATGGCTAAAAGGACAGAGCTGGACAGCTTCAAAGTATTCATACAACTTTTACTCTTGACAGTTTCATGGTTGTGCGACCAACTGTATGCTTACACTCCCATCCATTCATATTTGCAGTATATATATGTTGTTTCTTCATGATTACCGCAGCAGCGAGTATGCTGTTGTGTTCGGTGAAATAGTCACGCTGTAAGGAAACCAACTGGTTTCAAAATTCAAACTCGAACCCACGTGTTCCTGATAGATGTGCCTGAAATTTACAGACCCCCTTCAACTCTTTTTTTGGTTCCATTAAACCAGCAGAACTGATGAGAAGCAACAACAACATCCGTGGGAAACTTTGATGCACAATGCAAATAAGAACTTGAAAACAAAATGTAGTGAGCTTGATACGAACTGCTGCGATTTTTCTGTTGATCTCACCTGCATTTCACCCAAATTCCTCCTATAAGCTTAAATAATGCAATGCTTAATCCTTTTTGGCTTCCTGGATGATACAGAAGACTGGCACACAGTGTGGATCAACATAGAACATGATATACTTACAACAGGCACAAGCTTACATCTGAGCAAATAAACAGTTACAAAGGTGAGTACCATAACATTAGCTGAGTGTCATAACATGATCATACAGAGACAGTTCAACTTACTGCTACTTATAAAGAACCGTACTAATTTTAGGAAAAGTGACGAAAAAACTGTACTGCTTATATTGGGGAATCAGCTGGCCAAAAGCGATTTTATGATGATGATGTTTTGTAAAGCCAGAAAGCCACATGTCATTGTCAATGCCTCAATGGCAAGGACACTATGCACAATTAACCAGGCTTAGTGGGCTTATTTCTCTTCTATACTTTTTTCATACCATCACAAAATGACCTCGAGTTAGAAGATGGTATCCTCCATTTCGCGACCACACCGAGCTAATTTTCTCCATGCATGGAAGATGAACATGATCACCATGCATTGATTTATCAAAGAGTCAGCCTAGCATGGGCGGCAAGAGCCACTCAGGCTAGCCAAGGAGACTGCCCATG